GGACTACGGACTACGGACTACGGACTACGGACTACGGACTACGGACTACGGACTGAGAACACAGAAATGGGAACAGAATGTGGATGAGGAATTACCAGCATTCATATTTTAATAGAGGACGTGTGCACCGATTGGTGAAGTTTTCTCGTGGACTAACTTACTCGTTTCTGGCGCTATACACTATTCAGAATTGATATTTCATTAGATCTAAGCGAGCTGCCATCACAGCGCATTTTCAGAAATATTCCCTCGGAAGATTCTCCAGGAGAGGTTTTCGTTATTGTTTCTTCCGAAGTAACAAACTTTAAAAGCTTGTGGTATCTGGCGAATATTTAATGAATCGTCGGTTGTTAATCCATTGTCCAAACATTGTCAAATCTATTATTTTAAGTAAATAAAGGGTGTAAGTTTTTTGTAGAGACTGTGGCGCTGCGTCGGTGGGAGAGTATAACAAGGTAATTTAGTGTTAACAACTGAGTTGATGACGTAAATTGGCCATCGTAATAAGCTAAAAGGCTAGCGTCGCCATATTCCCGCCAATAGCGTAGCTCCATTTTCTGCATATAAACCCACATACAACCCACAATTCCTTCAATCGCTCTGATGAAGGGCTATCGCTCGAAACGTCAGCCTTTAACTCTTTACAGTGGCCAATTTACGTTATCAACTCCGTTGATAACACTAAATTTCCCTATTATTTCAAGTGCCGAGTTTAATGACATTTTATCGGGATCTGGTAAAAATGTGATCTAGTATGAAAGACTTATTTTGAGAAGATGACTCTCATTACATTACTTTTCAGCCTAAAGTAATTTACAATTACCCACCAAAGTGGAGGTGAATAGTGGTAAATATCCATCACTTTCACCGACACTGAGACGAAGAATTGTTTTAGTATATGCCACACCGATGCAAAAAAAAATAGTTTATTTCTATAAAGATACCAAAAAATGGTCAGAAATTAAACTCGTGACCCGTGGTTTTGACTCATCGGTGAATAGTACTAGATATTCACTTCTGAACTGGCCAATCAGCGCGTGCAAAAAGCACTATTCACTTGTTTGGTCTCTACTTATAGAAAATAATGTATTTTTATTTTATCTGTTTGTAGTCAGTGTTTCATACAGATATGTTAAATTTTAGTGAATGTTACCGACGACCAGCACTAGGCCTTTTGGCTTAGATCTAGCGGCTGCTAAGCTCCCAGGAGTTCATGTTGGACTGTTCATCGTATTGCTTGACTTTTGACACTCCTTTCGAGGCTCATACACTGTAATTCTATACGATTCAGGAAATAGCTTTGCCGAGTCAGTCCACTCAGTCTTGCATTTCTTTGAATCAACATAGTGTTGCTCATAACTCTTTAGGAGGTGGGAAGTTGGCGGAAAAAGCAAGAAAGATGACTGATGATGATTTCTCTCTCTAAAATTAATTTAACCATCTCACTTGATTTAACAGACGTTATTGATGACTCGCTTCAAGCAACATATCAAAGGTTTAATGAAATACCCGATCCCAAGCTACCTGTAAAATACCCCCGCACGCCTGGTTATCGACCGACCGGGCCCAAGGACAACCCTTATAACGCATGGTAAGTTAGACTTAAACAATGTATTGCCTTGCTAATGTAGTGTGGCAGCTGAAACTCCTTGTCTACATCCGAATCACTCTGTGCAAAGGTCTTCGGAGTATATTTGACTTTCTTGTCTCATTCACCTAAGGTACTGGCGCTGTGACATTCCTGGCGCTCCAAATGGAAAACTTCAGGGTAAATCGATCGCCATCAAGGACTGTATCTGTGTCGCGGGTGTTCCAATGATGATGGGCTCCCAGATATTAGAAGGTTATACCCCGGATGTCGACGCCACCGTCGTGACAAGGATACTAGACGCTGGTGGTCGTATCATGGGGAAGGCTGTTTGCGAGAATTTATGCAACAGTGGAGGTAGCTTTAATGCGGCCACCGGTCCTGTAGTTCACCCGCTTGATGAAACAAGAATGACAGGTGGATCCTCTTCAGGGTGTGCCGCTCTGGTATGATTAATAAATGTTGCATACATTCTAGTCCAGTGCAATGATCAGCATGTCGTTCTCCGCAGACATCTCAAGTTCATTTTGCAGAGCTCATGATCACTGACTGCCGAACGTTTTGAGCGCTGAACTGCGGGTCGAGAAGTCTGGGTTCGAGACCTGGCCGGGTCATTGTGTTGTGTTCTTGTGCAAGGAACACCTTACTCTCCCCACGCAGGAGTATAAATGGTACCAGCTAATTGTCGGAAAGGCTGAAAAAATGCCGGGGTTAAGCTTGAGATCCCATCTACGGGAATACACTCCGGCTGTAGGGGCACTTGGCTCGACTGTCCTTTTACCTTTTCAGGAACATTAGTCCTTGCAAATATGTAGACCTCTGAACCCTCTCAGACAAGTACCCCTCTCCTTCTTTTAGATCTTCAGTGTTGTGTTTATAGAGGACATAAATGAACCCACACACTTGCAACATAGAGTAGAACACAAAGCTCCCACGTATTGTGGTCTGTAACCTCATTCGTGATATAATCAATATTGTGGAAGAAATTTCAAATTTTGCATGAGAAATATGTTCTTCACGTTTAATTTATATTCTCGTGAGCTTTCAGGTGGCAGGAGGTCACGTGGACATGGCGGTAGGTGCTGATCAAGGTGGCTCCATTCGTAATCCAGCAGGACGTTGTGGCATTGTGGGGTTGAAGCCTACTCTAGGTCTTGTTCCATATACGGGTATTGTACCCATGGAATTCAGCCTCGATCACGTAGGCTTGATGGCCAAAACTGTGCACGATGTAGCGTTATTACTCGAGGTTGGTATTTTGGGAAATTCTTGATAAAACGCGTTGAAATAATGAGGGTATTTTGGTATTTGGTGTTGGTATTTTGGGAAATTCTTGATAAAACGCGTTGAAATAATGAGGGGCACGACAAAAAAAATACGCGAGGCGGTGCATGTCCTTGATTACGCGCATTTCGCAAATTGCGGGTTTTCTTTATAGCCTTGCTTTTCTAACACACAGGTTTTCCCTAACGCTCTTTTTCCTCATGTGCGTTTCAACTGTATTATCTAGGCTTCATTTCTCCAACGCTACAACTGGGGAAGAGGTCGCGTGAACTTATTTTTTTTCTTTAAGATATTACATGGGTGAGTTGTGAGTTGACAAAGATTTTCATTTAATCTTTAATTTTTCTTAAGCTTTTGGTTTTCACAACATCTCAAGTTGTGTATCTTGTTGCTGCAATAATCGTTGTTTACACGAACTAATCTACGTTTTTGCTGAACTGTTTGCTCTCGAAAGCCTTAATTGAAAATGCTATCCGGTATAGCTCTATCTACGTACTTTCGTTGATGTAAAGTATTCTGAATCAGTTTAACTGTAATTTTTTTATTGAAGATTACAGCTGGCTCAGACGATGGTCTTGATTATCGCCAGCCTCATGAACTGCAGGTGGAAAATTACGTAAATCAGGTGACGAAGCTATCTTGTTTCCAAAGCCGTGATCTGTTTGGTCAGCGTCACAATTTTAACGAGCACTTTCTGAAACAAATTTACCTTGTCTTCTGATTGGCTGGTTTGACTGCGGTATAAATAAGTTGATTCTTTACGAATTTTTCTATCGACGGCAACAATCAGCTGTTAACTTGCTCGTTAGAACTTCCCACTAGTCTCGTATGACTTTCAACTGAAACTTTTTCGCCCTTTTGAGGAAATAAGTCATGCTAAATGTTGATGTAGAATGCCTAATAAACTAGCACTTCAACGGCAGTTCCTCGATAGGTATTTACCATTTACAGTTCACAGTTCTCCGCTTAGAGTTTATTGCTTATTGTTTGCCTATTACCGTTGCCGTGATTTATTTACCTTCTCCCGTTAACGTTTTGCCGTTTTGTGTTTCCATTCACCGTTTACAGTTAATCGTTTATCGTTTATCGTGTATTATTTATCATTTTCCAATCACCATTTATCATTTTTTGACAGCTTACGAGTGAAATCTCTCATCTTCGACTCGGACTTCTTACGGAAGGCTTTTCTCATCCCCAATCTGAGCCCGATGTTGACCAATGCATCAAAAGGGCCGCTAAACACCTGGCTACAGAATCGGGTGCGACCCTACAAGATGTCTCTGTTCCAATGCATTTGGATGGTAAGTGTAATTTGTCTTTTGTGATGATCGAAAGCAATAAATCGGCTACCTTGATAGTATATATTGCAATTACTCCTTTCCAATCTGAGCGTTTTAGGGACCAGCTATAAGTTTTATTACCGTTTGAGGAAGGGCTGAGGATTTCGGGGGGATAACAAGATTTTCAAGAGGGAATGGACGGAGAGATCAGTCGTCACCTACAGAGTATAAAGGAGGAGGGAGGGGAACTTAACAAAATTGACTGCCAATTTACTGTTAATGAGGGATCAGACGAAAAATATTACACAGCCTTTTGGGGGATCAGTCAAATTTTATTGTAACATAACCAAAATCCTCCCACCGGTCCCTTATTCCATACTTAGTAAGTGAGGCTTGTATTTTGTTTTTTCTCTTAGCAACTGTTATCTATGACGCTTTTACTGAAGGAGGACTCTGGCCTGACAGATTTTTTGAGACAAACGGTAGGTCCTGACCCCACTGAAAATAAAGGAAAAAAATATGAATGAAGTAGAAACAGCAGCCAAACGTCTCCAGGAGTTTACAACGGTGTATGCCTTGGGAAGAAGCCTGTAGAACAGGTGTAATTCTTAGACATTTTTCAGGCGCTCTCTACCTCGCGCGTGACTCCCGCTTCAATTTTGCCTCGCGTTTGCCTGGTCGTCTAAATAAAATACCAAAAATGACACCTGTTCCGCAGGATACTCAGAGAGAGGTAAGGTACCTGATTGTTTGGAGCGTGGTATGAAAGGGCTGGGTTTGAGCTCAGGCCCTGTTCTTTTCACTGTGTTCGAGGGAAAGACAGTTAACCCTTGATACAGTCGACTCCCGTTCTTGCGGACACCCTCGGGTGAGTTGTGGGGGGATTTAGTGTCCGTACTAGCGGGAAAAAAAATTGTTTTGTCTCTTAACAGATGAAATAATATGTAGCTACGCAAACAAAGTTTCTGACGTAACCGCACTCAATTGAAGAATGGTTTCCTTGTTTTCTTTTATCGTAATGTCACTGTATACTTTGTGAGTCAGGATTTTGGACGAAGTACTTCAGAGAAAAACAAGTGAAATGTCGCGCTGGGGGGCATGAAAGTGTCTGCATTTCCTAAATAGCGAGAGTCCGTGATATCGGGAATTTATTTCAGCCATGTCTTCATGTGTTTCGCCGGGGCCTGGCTCTTGTCCGCAATGGCGAGGCGTCCGTAATAGCGCGGTGTCCGCCGGGCGAGAGTCGACTGTACACAGCACATCTTGCATTATAGAACACAAACGGTAGCTAAAAGCTGAAAGCCTTAACTGGCCCGTTAACATGGGGGTGAGGGAGCCCAAGTTGGTGAGGTAACCCACCTCGGTGGGGTAACTTACTTGTCCACATAATCTATAATTTTATGACGATTACGTTTACATGATAGGTGGGGTAACCGTGTGCCTGGAGGGGTTGCTCAGTCTGCCGGGTAGGGTAACCCTGTCAGCTGGGGTGACAATTTGCCATGTAAACGTCTCAAGATGGGGTAACCTACTCAGCCGGGGTCTCGTTCATGTTAAATTTCCAAGCGCACCAAGAACTTCTCATCCCTCAGAGTCCTCATTCCAGCATTCCCGTGCGGAAAGATTGGGTGTAAACGCGGGCTATTTTTCGGCTACGGCTGAAGGGGTTATCTCAACTACCTGGGGTTCTCCATCGCCAATCAAACAGGCCCTAAAACACTTTGAAGACAGCTTGCGATAGACCACTACTACTTAACATGAAAACTGTGAACACTCTTTCAGTTTCTCATTTGCATTTACTCTGAAGGCTATCAGGTTACCAGTCTCCAGAAATGGTTTGCACAAGGACTAAAGACTCGAGCAAATGATATCAGCGCCGACTTCAAGGTCGCCTCTATCAAAGGAAGATACTTGCAAAAAAATTATAACGATGAGTTTTTCTTTAAGGCACGCAATCTAGCGTGGAAACTAAGAACAGTGTTTGACGAGGCACTGACCAAAGTCGACGTGTTGATAATGCCTACCAATCCGAAGAAAGCCAGACCATTACCTCTTCCAAATATTCCTCTAAGAGGTAACTTTATTAATTAATTGATAAACCATAAAAAATGAGTAACTAAGCAGTGTAAGGTGCAGCCCTTTTTATAAAACAAGTTTTTTCTGCATGAAACAAAGAAAGAAAAAGTAAAATAACATCGGTCTTCTTCGTGAAAAAAAGTCTTTTACGGCCAAGATATTTGTTCCTCTTCTGAGAAATACGTTGTTGCCTTATTAAGCCTTGCACCCTTGCAACTAGTATTTAATTTGCTCTTACAGTATCACCCCTGAATCCCACACTCGGGTCACAAGGAGAAAGGAAATGATCACCGCCGAAAAAAGCTCTTGATTGTTAAACAAATTCCCCTTGTCAGCATCTTTGGAAGTGTATGGAGAATCTTATGGAAAATTTGAATACTGTTAGGGTGAAAAAGGTTTATAAAATTTTAAATTCATGCAGATTTTCGTTTGTTTATGAGGGTTTCTTTCTTTACTGGCTTCTCTATATGTAAGAGTCACAGCGCCTACTAATCTCGTTCCCAGATCCTACCGTGAAACTAAAATTTATACCATTTTTAAACCGGGAAGGCCTGGGTACGAATTTTAGGCAGTACATATCAATCGATAACATGGTAAACTTCATCAGTAAAAATTACATGGGCTCTGGTGTATGAGAAACTGCATAGATTAAGAATAGAGTCGCGGAAGGCTGCTGTTAGTGTTAAATTGACAGCAAATTTATCTTTTGGTTTGCTTCTAAATTTTTGTTATTACTGAACTTTTCTCAATTACCAAATCTTTGAATTGTATCTTTATTTCCGTCATTTAATCATTCTCAAATTTCTTTTCTCCCCAGAGTATCTGCAATGTTGCAGTGAGAACTACGTAAATACATGCACCTTCAATATGACGGGTCACCCAGCCCTGTCAATCAACGCCGGCTTCAGTGATGGCTTACCGGTCGGTATGATGATTGTGGGAAGAAAATTTGATGAGGCCACTGTTCTGAATGTCGCCTACGCTTATGAGAGGATCAGAAAAATGTAGACTAAACGTACTTTTGTTTTCTGATCTTAATTTTGCTAAAGTTTTGATAGATAGGCTCAACATGTTGATGTTCCTTTCTGTACAAGGGATAAGGAAAATTTGATACAGTTATGCAAACC